TCTCTCTCTCTCTCTCTCTCTCTCTCTCTCTCTCTCTCTCTCTCTCTCTCTCTCTCTGTTCGAAATTTCTCAAATGCGGTCGTAATAGCAAATCGCAGTTGTATATATATATATATATATATATATATATATATATATATATATATACAATATATATATATATATATATATATATATATATAAATAAACTCGGTTTCTTTTTAAATTTTCAGATTTTTCGAAGTTATGTTTCTTGAGAATCTTAAATGATGCTATTATATAAATGTTCTATGGATTAACTCGAAACGGTAAATTTTATACTTCACATTTTATATTCAATTGTTCACGTTTCTTTAATTTAACATTGCTCTGAATATGTCATATATCAACATTATCCAATCCATTTACTTTGTGACCGAAGCATGATGATCTTTCATATATATCATATATATATGATCATTTATTTCATAGTTTAATCGAAAATAATAAATTATAAAACCATTGTTTTTATACCGAGAATAATTTGTTATTGCTCGTTACTAATACAAGTCTAAATTATCATTTTCAGATAATGGAATTTGTACGAAGAAAAAAAAACGTGACATGCTTGGAAAAATAGACTTTATCTTATGGAATTTTGGAAGAATGTATAAATAAATTGAATGAATCGAATAAAGAAAGAGTTTCATCAATTCTGAAACGATGGAGACAATACGATTTCAAAATTGGTCGAATCTACAAGTAAACATTCTGCGAATAATATCTTGCAGAAGAAAAACCTGAGCAAAAATGATTACATATAATTAAACATGAATTTTTTCTCTGTATGGCTACATATAATTGTATTCAATTATTTATATCTACATGAAATCCACGGAAAAATGCTAATTACAATTAAAGAATTAATTAATGTAATTAAAATAACCGCTTATATTTATAATATATCCGCGTAGACATAAATTATTACATATGATTATTTATGCGGTTATATAGAAGCAAAATTTATACATATACGTAACATATAATTATATATAATTTATGTGTAATTTTATGCGTAATTTTATATAATTATATGTAATCATTTTTTCTCAAGTCATATGATTTTAAATTTGGTCAAATTAACAACACATCCAAAAATTGAGATAATTTTCATGTCTTAATTAATGAATAATTCTTAATGTTAATTCTGAAAATTGCAATATGTGTTTGTTTTTTTATAATTACATATATATATATACAAATATATATATATATATGTAGTTATATATATATATATGTAAGTATAATATACATATATATATACACATACATATATACATATTTAAATACATATATGATAAAATATATTCTTTTATACTTATATAAGAATTATATAAGTTATAAAAAATATATATATATTATTTTTCTTTTAATTAGTTATATATGTATGTTATATTATAAAATGTTATTATAATTTAATAAATATTATATAAAAATCTTTCAAGTTCTTTTTTTATCTAAACACTTATAATTGGTATAAATATTATTAATATAGGAGATATTATAGTTGCAAATTTTTTCACATCCGTCAAGATAAGATATTTTGTAATACAAGAAATTGATAACAATATTTTGAAATAGGATGGGATTCATCTGCAGGTTATATAAGAAAATAAGCATAAAAAATTGCAATCTGATAGCTAGTTTTGAAAAATTGTTATAATCTTTATTGCCGATACTAACAATTATGTTATTTTGTTGCGCACGCGCCTACATACACATACACATATACAAACTCTCTCTCTCTTTTTCTTTCACACATTTATTTTCCCTTTCATCTACACATCACTCATTTAATATAAAATAATTCTTAATAATGCTTGTATTCTCTTGAACAAAAGTGTCTTCAATAAGAATATAATATAGTTTAAGCTATTCGATCAGAAGAGTGTATTTATAAACAGTGGACATTTCTCACGGTCGATTATTACATGAATAATCGAATCGTGATTGGTCAATTTATGTACTGCTTACGTCTTATTGGCCTACTGCCAATCTCAATGTAGCTAGATCTTAATGGCTTAACTTCGTTATTTGGGATTTCATACTTATACGACATCACGTACTGGTATGATTAGTTTTCAGCAAACCGTTGTAAAGGTAAGATATAGTAATCTTAAATTACATTTGCAGACTTAGACACTTAAGACATCGAATCTGTTAAGTGCAACTAATTGTTGGAAGAAAAATTAATCCGTGTGTATATATAGAATATATATAGTCCTATATATATATATATATATATATATATATATATATATATATATATATGTGTGTGTGTGTGTGTGTGTGTGTATAGGGTTATATATACAGTATTACATATATGTACACAGTAAAGTATATATTATATGTAATAAACATCAGAAAGTGATATAATTAAAATTTTCTAATTTCTATATATATATATATCTATTTTTGTAACAGTCAGCGAATCCAATAGCGTTACACAAATTTATAACGTTATATTTAACACGGATCTGTTTATGAAAGGATCCAAGATCCAAAGTGCCTTTTAGAATATACATTAGTTGTTATTGTTTCGTTATCTGTTCAGCTTTCTCTCTGTATATAAACAGCGAAAGAGAATCGACTCTTATAAGAATAATTGACGATTGAAATATCAGTTATTCCGACAAATATTATATTCACTCCTGATTTCGATAAACGACACCCTCCCTGTGTATTCTTTTTTATTATCTTTTTCGTGCCTAAAATCGAAATTTATCCCGACAATTTTTTGTTGCAATTTTGCTTACGTTTAATTGCTTTCTCAGCTAACAGACAAATCGTTCGTGCAGATATACGACGTGAAAATGGGTATGTTACCCTTAACGCTGATATTAAATGTTGGCCTGGTATTCACCCTGGCGACAGCATTGTACACCAATGAGGACATTGGAGACTGTTCAGAGGCTACACCTCATGATCGCTTAACGCACATAGAGCCATTGAAATATAACGTCAAACTCAACATCAGAGTGCATTATAAAAACATCATCGGCGAAAGCAAAATCAGAATACGGATCGCAAAGACAACGCGAGTCGTGGCTCTGCACGCTTACGGGCTCCAAATAGACGAGGACGCGGTGGTGCTCACGAAATTTAACAGAACGTGGGCTGAAGATGCGAAGAACGGTAATGGCGAAAACGGTAAGATCGGTAACGGTGATATAGTTATGGATATTTACAAGCCGGAAAGCTATCGTTACTGCACCGCATCGCAGATTCTGGAGATACATTTTGACAAAGATATGCATCGTGGATATTACGATTTGTATATCCCGTTTGTTACTCCTTTCTCTGAATTTGAAGGCTTCATACAATATCCGTATCTCAGTGAGGAAACAAATAAAAGGTGAGTGAGTGTGAGAGTTGTGGACGTGCCGCGATTTATCTACTTTCGTTTATTATTCGTCTCTAATATTGTTAACGCTATCGAAAGATGTATGTAAAGTATGCAACACTGCACGGAAAAATAAATTTAGTTGGATTAACCAATCTAATAAAACGTGAACGAACCAAAATTCTAGTTGAGGTTATTAGAATTCTACTTAAGTTAATAAGATTCTAGTCAATCTAACAAGATTTCTAATTAACCAGAATCTTGTTAACTTGAATAGAATTTTTATCAGATATTTGATTAATCTAATTAAATGTTTTCCCAAAAATGATTATATATGAATTGTATGAATTTTTTTCCTATATGGAAAGTATACATAAAAAAATATCACTCTGTTGTTAAAGGAAGTAATTACTCCGTTTATTTTTCTTCTTTTAAGTAATGGTTTAAATAAAGAAATATATATATTTTAGTCTTGAAATATATTTATCACAAATTTTAGAGAAGCTCATTATGATGTAATTAAAAGAAGAATTTATTATGCTTACAAAAATATTATAAAACTTCATCGAAGAAAAAGTTGACTTAACTTTTATAGTAAATAAACGTAATTTTTGTTTTAAGTTAAGATAATTCTTGATTTTCAAATGCTAAACTTAATAGGATTCAGAATATATTGAATAATAAATTTGATGCTTATGATGAATTTATGATAGACTTGCGGATATATAAACTTATAAAACAAGTAACATTTGAATGCAGCATATATTTTTCTATGTATATATAATTATATGTAATTATATATGTTTACACGAAAAGATTCTGTTGATCAAATATAATTCAAGCAACTGTTCTCGTTTATAGAAATCCGTTATGTCAACATATAACTGCATAAAACTATTTGCTTTTCTCTATTATCAACAGTGTTTTTCCGTGTATACATATATAGTTACATATAGATATGTATAAAAATATATAAACACTATATATATATATATATATATATATATACTTATTAAGTATATAAACTTATATGCATATAATTATATACAATTTTACAATTATATATATTTTTTTTTGTTTGGGATAATCAAATGTATGCCATTGATATGCAATAGGTGGCTGTTCACGACGTTTATGGAACCGAATGGGGCACGAAAGGTATTTCCATGCTGGGACGAGATGGCAATGAAAGCGTTCTTCAACATCTCAGTTCAGCATTCATCCCACTATATTGTCTTTTCGAATACGCCAATACGACAATTGGAAGAAAAGGACACAGATGACGTACATGTCACACACTTTCATCCCACGGCCGCGATCTCACCTTCTCTCGTGATGATCACGATGATCAATAATATCATCAACTGTCCTATAGAATTCGCGGTCAGTTATATATGGCATAGAGAGGAGGTGACGGATTCGTTGCGCTACACGCGCAGCATCATAGAAATGGTCAAACAATACTTATCCTTGACTACGGATGTGCAAGAAAAGAAACGCAAAACGAACTTCCTTTTGATTCCAAACAGTCCAATGAAGTCCATAGGATGCTGTGGTCTTTACCTTTACCGGTAAGCAGTATACTTTGTTGAAGTATCATATTATTTTGTTGAGGAGCTGCAAGGATCCTCGTTACTAATTAACGTTTGTAAATATATAGGAAACGAGGAAGCGTCTAACTGTGACTCGTGAGAATTTTTGATGTAATCAATGTAATTCACATTTCACAGAGAGCAAGATCTTACGTATGACGAGAAAACCGACTTCTCTGGTCGCAAAATTGCCATTGCGAGGTTGTTAGCGCATAGCATATCACGCCGATGGTTTCTTGGGGTGGTCAGTCCATTTTGGCAGACTGACTCTTGGTTAGGTGAAGCACTAGCAACGTATTTCTCTCATTACACCGTAGCCAAGGTAAGATAACATCGTTAACATCAACGAAATGCCTTTGCTATTGAAATATACGTTTATTTTTTTAAAATGATTGTCTTGTGCGATAGAAAGAGAAAGTAGAACAATTTAGGCAAACTGTAGATAACAATATGAAAGATAATAATATATATATATATATATATATATATATATATATGTTTTAAAATTAATTATTATATCAATATTTTGTTACTGAAAGACAGAAAAAAAGGTTTAATTGTATATAGAAAAATAGAAATTAATTAGAGAGAGAGAGTTTCATTTACTATAGTACAAACTTTGGGATTACCTTTTTCCACAATTATACATACAACAGTTATTTATTTCTATTAACATATCTCAATGTTCGTTCATTACTGCGATTAATTTATATTTTAATATAATCTTTTCTTCCTTTTTTCTTTTCCTTGTCACATATGTAAAATATTGCTATAATTTACAAATATATATATATATATATATATATATATATATATATATATATTTATAATTATTTTCAATTTTAATTTTCAAACTATATTTAGAGTCTTTTAGTAAAAGATTGCTACGATATAATATATATAAAATATATATTTTTAATATATCATAGCAATTTTTTTACTAAAGAATTCTAAATGCAGTTTAAATATCAAAATTAAAATTGAAAATAAAGCACTGGCCATAATCTATTATAAAGAAACACTAAAAGAAGCAAACTATAGATGTCTCAATTTTTTAGTTAAATATTTTTCTAATTGTTGCAATTAGGTAGTGTTTTGTGTTTAATATATAATCTAAGTTACGGCGGCTTCTCCTAAGAAATTCATTTCACGGGATACCCATTTTCAGCTCTTGCGAGTGCTTTTCCACAGAAAAACGAGATAGCACTTCTTTATCTCGCTAAGTCAAATGTCTCCTATATCACATTCATCCGTTCGCAATAACTATCGTTTGCAGATGCTGCAAAATGCGATGTACATACATCTCTACGTTGTCCAGATTCTACAGCCTACGCTCCATTATGATACCGAACTCAAAATGAAATCTATCGCGGAAATGGCCAAGAGTACCGCTGAGATCAACGCAAATGAAATCGACATGATTTTTTATTCTCGCTTGAGTTACAACAAAGGTGAGACTCGAAAATAAAATAACGGTAGTTGTAACCATTTTATTTTAAATCGATATGTCGACATATGTCTCATTATGTGAATCATCGTAGGCTCCGTCTTGATACGTATGTTGCAACATTTTCTTGGAGTGGAGAATTTTCGAGATGGTATCGACAGATATGTGAGAAAATAGTGAGTAATTTATCGTAATACTGTAATTATATTTTCTCTCTCTCTCTCTACTTCTCTATCTACCTCTCTCTTTCTACCAAGTACTCTTTCTACCAAGTACGCGTGCGAACGTGTGCATGCATGTTTTGTTTCAAAATTTCAAAACCGATCGTGTACTCGGTTTACTGGTATAACGGCTATACTGATTAACGACATAAAAAGGCTTAATAAGTTAATCTATACAGTTATAAATTATGATAGATCAGTACAATTGCAAACACTATATTTTTATTAATTATTTAAAATATGTTAACAAAATGCTATTGTATAATTAATTCCCGGGTAAATGAAATGTTTGAAAAAATGTGTTATTTGTTTCGGACCATTGTGAAGTTCACGTGTTATTAGTGACACTAAATTTTGATGATTCAGTAAGTCCAGTTCAGCCACTACCGACGATTTTTGGCAAATAATGCAAGAAATTTTCGACGAGTCGGGTAGACACAACTATAATATAAAAGAGATGATGGACACATGGTTAACGGGACGACAGTATCCCGTAGTGAGTTTCGATTATAATTATAATATTTCTACGGCGACAATTTCAATATCATGCGATAATGATAACTGGATAATACCTGTAAGTTATACTATGTCGAATTTCGCTTCCAAAAGTACTGCCTCGAGAAGTACTGGCCTTGAGAAGTTGAAATGTTCCCAAAGCAAAATTATAAATGGATTCAAATTGGAAGATATGATTATAATAAATCGAAACCAAGTTGGTGAGTACTGATCATGTTCACATTGATAACTTAACATACTCACGACATCGTCGTGTTTTCGTGTAGGAGAGACCGGGGCTAGATGTCCTATGTTTCAGAATTTCAAAATTATAACTTCTCAGGCAACCAATTGTTGTGACTAACTATATAAACATGATAGAGACAACCTTCTTCTATGTATTAATGCCCATCAGGACCTTATTAATCGTATATTTGGTTTTAATAACCAAAATATGAACATGCAATAATAGCCATCTTGCTTTGCTACCATATTCTAGTTTAATTATTCAGTAGTGCAGGATAAGAAGGCCGCATATATAAAATATATATCCTAATAAGAGTAATTCCGGAGTCTCCGCGAGAAGTTTCCACAGCCCTCCTGCCGGCCCTTAATTATCGGCTAACTTTACCTCATCGGCTAATATGCTCTATTTCAATCATTTTATGAGTGAAAATTGCATTTATTACTAAAAATAATACATCATACGTTTGCAGGAAATTTCATTCTAGTTATTAACACATTGCTTAATTTTATTAAGTCACACTGGAGAATATTAATATACAAAGATTCGAAAATTTACTTCGCTATTACTAAATCAGACTTTTCTATTTCTTAACTGTAATATTATTTTGATTTTTGCCAAACTCAGGAAAAAGTATTTATGTTCCAAAAGAACTATTTCGCGATTTTGTACTCACTATTCCTCTCAAGATAAATACTGAAAAAAGCACATGAGCAATATACTTCTGGGGACACACAGCTCCGGTCTCATCTATTCTATAATACGCGCGATCCTCAAGGTGCACCGTTTATACGTTAGATGTTAATAAATTGATGTTGCAGCGCTCGCGGATAGGTAAGAGGCTCGAAGCTGATCATGTTTCGTTAACACATGCTAGCCGGGGCAGTTTACTATATGCCGCGCATACAGGGTGTCCGATAACTGATCGAGCCGTGTACGGATAGAAACAAAATAATCCTAATAGTTATATACCATTTTGAAATTTTCTTAATATTTATTTCGCAATTAATTAAAATGTATAAACAAATGAGCTCACGAGAAGCGGTACGAGAGGACAGGCTCTGTGTGTAAAAGAAATGGCTTACCTCTTAGCAAATAAGTAAACAGCTAATTTCGAGGCGGAGTAACGTATACGTGTCGTTTGTTACTCCGCCTCGAAATTAGCTGTTTACTTATTTGCTAAGAGGTAAGCCATTTCTTTTACACACAGAGCCTGTCCTACCACTTCTTGTGAGCTCATTCGTTTATACATTTTAATTAATTACGAAATAAATATTGAGAAAATTTCAAAATGGTATATAACTTTTATGATTATTTTGTTTCTATCCGTACACGGCGGTTGCTCGATCAGTTATCGGACACCCTGTATATACGCGCCCCGGCATCTATATGTTAATATGTCAGGAAACATTACTTTTCGAGCGCTATGGTTCGAAAAGATTTTTGCGATTACGTCTGCGGGTAAACCACCTGTCGATTTGTCAGGAAAATTACATAATTTTTCTGACATAAATCGATTCCTCGTGTTATTCCGCGCACGTGTACATTGAGAGAAAAATATAGTTGCTTTCGGCGTCAACTATATTTTTTTTTTAACCGGAACAATAATTAGAAAAACTATCTTTCTAATAACTTATTAAAATAATGTTTTTCTAACTATTTTTGTGGTTAAAGTCACAAAAGAGTATACTTGACGCCAAAGGCAACTATATTTTTCTCTCAGTGTATAAAAGTGACGAAGTTACATCATCATCGGAAAGTGAATACTCCCTCCACCTCTTAAAATATTTTACATTTCATCTTGACATTTTTCGGTACAAGGTATTTTATATCAAGATGAAATATAAAATATCGCGGAAAGTATTTACTTTTTGATAATCGCTTTCTCTGATCCTTTTATTCACAGATCTGAGGAAACGATTTATGTAAAAGAAAAGTAATTATAATTTTACTAAGAAATAGAAAAGTGGCTTACGTATATGTGTACTCATATATGCATTTTTCTGGCCTGTAGAATGGGAAGGAAATGTCTACTGATATAATGAATGTATGTATTAACAAAAAGTGATCAATTTCGGTCCGGCTGTCTCTCTCATCCGCTCCCGAACGCTATAACATCGATTTATCAATACTATGTATACGTTGAAAATAGAAAGGAAGGAGAAAATTTACGTTCGTAAAACGTTGCTTAACAAACACAATCGAAAATATCTGATAATCTAATTTAGAGAGGTCAATTTACTTCACAACAGGATACTACCGTGTTAATTACGACAACAAGAACTGGCGAAAAATCTCCTCTCACTTACGATATAACAATTACACTAACATTCACGTCCTCAATCGTGCTGCATTCATCGATGACGTGTATCACTTTATGATGAAGGGCGAACTTGAGGTTTCGACCTTCTTCAATATCATCAAATATCTAAAACGGGAGATGGATTTTGTAGCGTGGTATCCTATGTTTAACATTTTGTCGTACATGTCAGAATTTTTCAAACAGCCAGAGCATACATTTGTGATTGTGAGTAGTAGCGAATTTCGTTAACGAAATTATATGTCTGGTACTATGTGTATACAATTTCGTAGAAAATCGACAAGCTTTGAATGCAAAAGTAATAAAATCAAATATTTTGTTTACTTGAATACAATATACATATAAAATATATATAAAATGAATACAAAATGTTTTTTTGAAAAATATAAAAATACGTATAACTATATATAATTACATATTAATTATACATGATTTACATACACGAAGCTTCAATTATATGACAAAATACTGTAAATTATATGACAATTATATGTAAACAATTATATGACAAAAAACTGTAAAGAGATAGTATATTAATATAGATGAATGTCACTTAACGATTTTTAGCCACACATGCTGGATATCTTGGATGCACTTCTGAATAACGTGGGTTACGAAGAAGATTATAAAGATGCTGACATGATGAAGGCGTTACGATTATTAGGATTAAGATGGGCTTGCAAACTCGGTCATGCGAAATGTCAAGAAGTTGCCAATGCAAAGTTGACCGCGCATATCATGGATCCTGCGGCACACCCGTAATTCTTCTTGTGATTGCTACTATTCTGCAATATATTTCTCTCATGTCACTCACGATACGCTCGATCACTTACGCTCAATTGAAAATCAAATCTCTGTCGTAAACTCTTGTTTCTCTTTACGTATGCCGTAGAATTTTACCGTGGTGGAAGGACTGGGTATATTGCACGGGTATAGAGACGGCAAATCTTAGCATTTGGCATCAGGTGTTGCACACAAGCATGAGGAGTAAAGACTTTGAAACTTTAATGCACTTAACTTGTTCTAATGAAGCTCCGCTTCTCATATATTACCTGGATTTCCTTGTGTCAAACAATGGCGCAAAAGAATTGACTGATCACCAACGTTACAGTATTTATCATGCTATAATAAAGAAACATGCACAGAAGGATATGGTGCTTAATTTCATTATGAGCAAATATAAAGAAATAATGTCCAGGTAATTTCTTCGTTCTTAAGAAATCATCATCTGTGAGAATAAACTGATAAATTAAATAACCAAATTTTACAGTTTTGATGAAACTCTAACGATGATATTAGGTGATGCCATTATGAATCTGAAATCGTCGGAACAATTCGACATGGTAAATTTCATCTCTTTCAAATATTTACTTACGTCCTATTATTCATTACAATTATTTTTGCATATGCTGGATTCTTTATTTATTTATTTGGAAAATAAGAAATTGCGTTGCGACCTATTTCATTAATCAAGTTGCTATTCGCATTGGCGATAAATATCAAAATTATTTGTTTTAGATAACGGAGTTCGCAAAACACTCCTCCAACGAGGACCAGTCTCGGATAGAGTACTTGTTACACTCTCGAATAAAACAATTAAAGCAAATAAAGAATAAGTATGACTGTTTCTAAAAGTGAAATTTAATACTAATTCAAACGCAAAAGTAAACGTCTTAATCGAATGTTTAAAAATTAAAACATTGGTGCGACAGGAACATGCGTCCTAATTATAAATAATATTTAATTTTAGCTTTATTGGTAAATTTAACGTCTTTTTAATAATATTGCTCTTTTATATAAAATATATATATATCACATCTAATGTGAAATATATAATATTGTAATACCATAAAATATTGTAATATTCTTTTATATACTATATAAAAGAATCTGTACATGTATGTGTATATGTGTGTAAATATATACATACATACATACATATGTATATAACATATATATATATATATATATATGTATTATTAGTTTTATAAATTAGAGCCATGTATATGTATATTATATCGAAAATTGTTCTTTTTATTCAATAAATTATACTAACAATATTGTACAATCTAAATATGTACTTTAATATGTTTGAGAACACAGATTTTAGTTACTAATCTGACTACAACTGCCGAATAAATGATATTCATGTAGTAATATATCTGACTGATAGTACCATCTAAGGAGAAAGTAATTATGTATGCTCTCTCGAAATTTCTTGGAGTAAAACTTTTCACTCAAAACGAAACAAAAATAGCAGTATCTTCACTCAAAGCAACAGTGAAAATACTGCCACTCAAGATCGCAATAATAAATGTTTCGTTCAATCTGAGAAGGGATTCTGAATCTATTTGAGCAAAAATTTCAGTTGATTAAAGTAAATATGCGGTGCAATACATTAGATTCATTCTTCAATTTTAAGTATGTTCACTCGATGACTCAAAGTGGAGAATTTACTTTGTATGAGTGAAATTCGGATTTGAATGATTTAATAGTCTCTCTACTTTTCAAGTGAAATTTTATTTAAAAAATTTTGGAGATTGTGTATCTCTCTGGTACGTCACTCGCGCGCATGTGTTTACTGACTAAAAACACTTCCTACATGTGGTGATATAATTTGTAGCTTAGCTTGTCTCGTGTCATATCGTACATATAATAACATCAGGTACTGTTATTGTCACGAGTTTGTGATAATCGTTTTGTCGAGATGGTATAGTCGAGACGATAATCTTAAATTACTTCTTCAAGTATTTCTTCCACACAAATTCGACATATGAGGTGAGACACCATAAACGTAAAATACTGATAGATAAATATTGTTTACTGCAAAATGTAGTAAATACTCTGAGAAAAATTTGCATACTTCCGAATAACTGACATAACAAATTTAATTCTCATTTATACTCGAATATATTTTCTGTATGTTTGTTAAAAACACCGTTATGTTTCTAGAAAGAACGTATTATATTTTTTTAATATCGCAAATGAAATTATGTGGATAATTTAGTTGTACTTGATTATACTTTGACGTGAATTTCGTTTTACGTTTTATATTGCACAAACATGATAGAAAGAGCAAATTTAATTATTTTATTTCTAGTAACTAATTCTGTATATTGTCATAAAACGTATTAACTGGTTTCTGTATGAGAAAGCAATCGAAGTATCAAATTATTTGCTAAGAAAGCACATAATCATACACGCTAATCGATATTTAATCTAATTTCTTCAATTACTACTTATAAGAAAGCGTTCAACTTTTCATCGAGATATTATATTTGCATTGTACATGTTTCGGTAGTAATTAAGATTTCTTAATTTTTGCGTATCAAATTGTGTGTATAAGGCGCGCGTTTATATACATTTTATAGAGTCTCGTGTTTTGAAATGCTCTTTAACGCGTTTCTTAAGATAAATACTTGTTATTATTGTATTGTTTTCTTTTTATAACCGTCTTTGTTTTTTAGAAAAGAATATTAGGATGATTATTTGTTTCGCCTGAGGTAGGTAAATAATGCATACGCGCGTATGTATATATACATATATTCATACACACACACACACACACACACAACACACACATATATGCATATATACACATAGAATGTACCAGCATAACAGGAGAACATATCTAAATATCTTTTTTATTTTTAATGACACGAGAAATATTTAGAGCATAATTTAAAGGTTTTCAAAGGAGGAATAGGAAGAAAATTTTTTGCGATTATATTTTTCAGAATTTCTCGAATATCATCCTGACTGTTTTAGAATTTGATCGCTTTGTTTATGTTTAGTCTTCTCAGTATCATAACTCTGACTTGCTTCAATGCATTTCAACATCCGCTACAAGATGAAATAGAAATAAATACATGCTTTCCTAAAAACAAATACTTAAAAAATACTTAAAAGATTTAATTAATCTTAAAAAATTCGAAAAAAAATTATTGCAAAAAATTGTCTTTCTACTTTTTATTATATGATACTCCTCGTTCCGAGCCAATAAAATTGGGTTCTAAACATTTTGTAACATTAAAAACAAAGGAGATATTTAAGTGTCCTCCTTATGCTGGGACACACTGTATAATATAATTCATGTAATAACATTACTAAGATGAATTGCGCTCATCTCTTCTTTTTCCTTCGACTTTTTTATGGCAGTAAAAATAAAAAATTGGAAAAATATCGTTATATTGCATTTTTTATATCTATTCAATAGCTTTGTTAATAATTAAATTGATTGCAGGCATTTATGGTAAAATGGAAGCTTTGAAAATACTTCTCAATGTAGCTCTGCTATTTATCGCCGTAATAGCCGACGTAGAAGATCTCAGAAATTGTTCGAGGATTTCCCGTCATTTACCGATCAATATAGTGGAACCAATACATTATAAAATTAACCTCTTAGTGAAACCGAATCAACGTGATTTATCAGGCACATCCGAAATCACTATTATTGTAAAAGAAGCTACGAGAAACATAAGTCTGAACTCTTACGGAATAAAAATAGAATTTGACCACGTAAAAATCACGAACATATCTAAAACATATGATGAACCGGGCGAACTGGTTGCTAAACTGATGTTGTTCCGACAATGTTTTCAAACTCAAATTTCGGTCATAATCTTTGACAAGGTCATAAAACCTGGAAAATATATTTTTCATATAGGATATAAGTCTATTTTATCTGAAGATATAGGCATTGAACATAATGCATATTTGTGGGATTCTACTGTTAATAGGTGAGTATGTGTTAAAATACGTCATAAGTTTGTAAACGTCACTTTGGTATGAAACATTATACGTTTCATACATATATAATATAAAGCGTCATGAACACTTTATATCAAGGCATATAAATTAATGATAAAAACACAATTGAAATTTGTTTTTGTAATGGCATGTTATTAAAATAGTGATAAATGGATACTCACGAATCATTATATACCAAAGGCGATACGAGAAATATTTCCATGTTGGGATGATCCGACAGTAAATACGACATTCGACATCTCAATCACACATCCTCGAACGTACGGAGCTTTTTCGGTTACGCTTTTAGCGGAAGACAGGAAGCTACCAGGCAACATGCATAGAACGCGATTCAACGAAATTTCCAAGATACCAACTTATCTCTTGTCAATTATAGTAATCAGTAAAATGGCATACAGTGATATGACAACAAGACTGCATTATGTATATCAGAGATTTGATTATATTCACAAATTTCTGTTAAAGAAGACGTGTGAAATGTTAGGAGCGGCAGCAAGTGAGTACAATAAACTCATGCGTTCATTTAAGAAAGAGATAAAAGTCGATCACATCTTCCTTTCAAAAGCTGTAATGAAGGTCAAGGCGCATCCTGGAGTTATTATTTATAGGTATATACAACATACATAATTAAAATATTATCACATAAACTGGTCATATGCGAGGTAATACTTAGCATCAAGGCTTTTGATGAAAAATAATTATATGTAACTTATATATGAATTTTTTTTCTATAGCTATATATACAATAATGCATAAGCATGTGTCTATATTGAGAAAAAACTGTTGAACTGTTGAACAAAAAGAAATATATTTTAATTCATTTAGATATTTTACATCATAGCTGCTGCAAACGTGAGCAATTGCTTTAATAAAATTTTCACAACAGTATTTTTTCCGTATAGGCACATACACAATTGTTGTCTCACAATTCAAAGCTCATGTGGTGGTAAAAGAGATCAAACTGAATAGGAAAACAATATATTATATTTTGCAAAGTTCGCTATCAAGAAATTAATTAAACAATAGAAAAGCGTGAGGACACGGGAAGTGGTAGAACGGACTCTGCAGTATATTTAAAGAAAGAATGCTTGCAAGAAAGATATCTTATAAGAATCTCCTAGAAATGGTGGGAATTAGCTGATGGAGAAATGTAGATTAACGTAGTAAGGAATGAATGGCGAGAAAGAAAGAAGTATGCTTTTTGCTTTCAACTGATATTCGCCGTACTGCGAGATCCTAAATAGTAAGATATCTTTTTTACAAGTTGTAAGAAAAGTAATTTTTCATTAAATAGTCCAGAGTCTAATGTATTATTTCCCGTGCATACATTCTTTTATATAATTTAATTAATTTCTGTATTTTTATTGTGAAATCAACAAAATGGTACATTAATTCGTTGTTTACAAGTTGAACAGAAAATTACGCACAAAATTACTGCGCGAGGTCCTTAGATTTTTATAGACCCTCGTGCTAGTCTTTAATAGAAAAAATTTATTTTAGCAGTAATTTGGACTACGTTACAACTTAAAAGAATGCATGTTGTTTTAAATTGTTAGCAGTAGTATATTCTAAATATATATAAACATATATTTAGGATGTACACTAGTGGTCTAAAAGGTTTGTGCACCGATTTTTTGTAGATTTCGGAACGCGTCTCTCTTTAGGAGAGAGACAACCACTGCTTGACACGCCAGCACTGCCACTTATTACGAGAGCAGAAGGTGACATATACTGTATATGCCATCTTTCTGCTCTCGTAATAAGTGGCGGCGCTGGCATATCAAGCTGTGGTTGTCTTTCTCTTGAAGTTGGGACGCGTCCCGAAATCTACAAAAAATCGGTGCACAAACCTTTTAGACCACGAGTGTACACGGGAACATTGGATGATGCATATATACAAAATGATTATTTCTAAATAATCACAACGACGAAATTAAATGATAATAATAACTTTTAGGGAGGAAGATTTTTTCTACAATAAAACTTATTATTATGCTGGTCGAGAAACGTTTATGTTCACTTTATTATCACACCAAGTAGGGCGTCAATGGTTTCTTGGTACGGAAGTGCATGATGATTGGTTATTCAGGGAAGCAATCTCGCTGTTCTACGGCTATTTAATTCCATCACAGGTTATTTCATATCAGCATTAATATTAAGTCAATTAAAAAGATTGATGTGGTGATATCACATACATGTAATACAAGCAACAATGCTAAAAACATTTTACGCGCAGAACATTGGTGAAGCAATATAGACGGTGATTGATTCGATGATAATATTAATAATGATGTCCTTCCTTGAAATATTTTGATTTTACATTTAGCTACACTAAATCGAATCAAGCTTTTCTATTTAACTGAGAAAATGCGAATCACGAATTTTGGAAGTTAACATTATTGATATCGTGCAAATTTTTAAATACAATTTTTGTAAATATTTTTGTAAATATATTGTTAATATTTTATTCAGTTAATGGCAAAATATTATTAACTTTCTCATTTTATATATTTAAGTATCTTCTTTAATATTGCAATTAATTTAATCGTATCAGTTATTTTAGATTCGGGGAAATCAGCTGTTTCTGAATCTCTTCGTAGTGAAACATCTACAGCTTGCGCTCAATAATGAGGAGGATTTAGGAATGATACAGGTTATTGATAAATTCGATTTCCTCGACGAAATCGATGATCTTTTTCACAATCGTCTATATTACAACAAAGGTGAGATTAGTAAATATAGCTGATCGAATATTGATCGATCTGGTTGATCTGGTTTTATATAACAAGCTTCACCGTATTTATTCCACAGTGGCCTCTCTACTTCGGTTGTTGCATTATATGTTTCCCAAAGATTTTAATAAAGGCATCGTGCAATACGTAAAGGAAGGGTGAGTAATTTACTGTAATATTATAAACACATAGTGTTATACCGCAACTACATTGGAATACATTTGTGTAGGTTTCAGCATGTTCAATAAATGGAGCAGTTTGTTGAATTGTAAAATGATTCAGTCCAATTATCGTTTGCAACAAAAAAAAAAAAAAAAAAATATATATATATATGTGTGTGTGTGTGTGTGTGTGTGTGTGTGTGTGTTTTAAATTATTACGTGTTTTAACTGTGGCAGGAAGTCTTTAAAGGCCTAATCCAATATTTGATATAAAACGTCGTATAACGATTCTTATCTGTCGCATTGTGTTCGTAATAACTTTGAAGAAAATGAAATTATTTACTTCTTAGATACTTTCTATATTTTGATAAGAGCATAAAGATAAATTTATTACTGTAATGTATTTATATAATTTACATTCTAATATGAAAATGGAGTGATATATGTCACCTTACTATGGCGCATTGCATCACTCTTAAATGTGCGAACTTGTTGGAATAGTTCGCAAATGTGCGAAATTGTTGGAATAGTTCGCAATATAATACAATTCAACAATTAATACAATTTAACTTACATAATTTATCTTAAATTTTCTCTTGTTTCAAAATTATTTTGTTCTTGATATTTTCATAGTAGAATTTTCTTAAGAATTTTCTTAAGATTTCCTCAGAAATTTGACCTTAATAGGTTCTACACTAGAGATGAGACAACCTATATAGCCACGAGCTAGAATGATAATTTTAATATGTTTGTTTTAATCTAATCTATTATTAAAGCTACAGATCATACTCTACGTACAAGTTTCAATCTGCAGTTAATTTTACTTCGGCAGAACCAATAACTTTTCGACCATCATGCAATCGTTCAATTTAACACATTTCAAAGATAAACATTCATTGAAAACAACGATGGATACATGGGTAAAGGAAAAATATTATCCTGAATTGTACGTTCATCGTGATTATTACAATAATATAGCGACGTGTTATTATTCATTACCTCATTCTGAAAACTTCAAATGGAACATGCCTATAACTAGTATTGTACAGTCAGATCTTATTTACTATAATGTTTCGATTGGTAATTTGACTATTAATTGGCTTAAGGATGCGCAATTAATCATTTCTGACATACCTCGAAATGATTTTATCATAGTCAATATAGAGCAGTTAGGTGAGTATGACTCTATTAATTTTCATCGCTTAATTATCTATTCTATAACAGATTCAAAAATTTATAGAATATTACATATTTATAATTTATACTAAAATAAATCCAAAGCAATGCTTGGGTTAAACAATATTTGCAATATTCGCAAAATACAGTTTGAAATATTTTATAGTTCTATTATCGTAGTTGATATATTCGATTTATATTCAAAATATTTGATAATGGGATATAAATATTAAATATAACATGTTAATATAATACATAAATAATTATGTATTATATCTAAAATGTTAATATATAAATAAAGGAAAAGATAGTGTTAAATTTATCATATAAAATTTTTTCTTTTTTAAGTAAACACGATCTGCATATTATTATGAATAAAATATTTAATATTTTTCGCGACAGGTTACTATCGTGTTAATTACAATAATCAAAATTGGCGGAGAATTTACAGCTTTTTAAACTATAACAATTTTACACTGGTACCTGTCCTCAATCGCGCTCAATTGATAAATGATGCGTATTATTTTGCGACTAATGGAAAATTGGACTCCGCTATATTCTTCCGTCTCATCGAATATCTAAAGCAGGAAACTGATTATTTAGCGTGGTATCCCATGTTTAATATTTTTCTACACATGTCGGCTTACTTGGAATGTTTAGAAGGCGAATTTGCAAAAGTGAGTAGCAGCTTATTCCGCTAACAAATTGATTTAGTTTTTATATATTGCACGAGGTTGTCCAAAATAATCGAGAAGTTTTGGAAGGTTATAGTACCTCATTTGGTATTTTGAAAAAAAATTTTGTAGTCACGTATATACCTAAATATAGAAATAAGTACTCTTCGCAAGTAACGTGGTACTGACGAATTAATGTTATTTGTGCTTCTAGACGCAGTTTGTGAATATCCTAGATGGACTTGTTAGTAATTTAGGATACGATATAGTTCCTAAGAATAAAACTTCCGTAATACCTACGAAGACAGCATTAACATGGTTAGGTATGAAATGGGCCTGCAAGATTGGTCACGTAGGGTGTAGAGATAACGCCACCAAAAGTTTAATTGATTATGTCCAGAGTCGTGAGAAGTACAAGTAATCTTTTATAAATGTCATCTATTTTTTATTTCTCTTAATACATTCGTTACTAGTGTTTCAAATGTATGATGTACTGATTTTTTGTGAGAAATCAGCGTTATAAATGTGTGATAAAGATAATTCTTTTTTTCACGTAATAAATAAATTGTCTGTTTTACCTAATTATACAAATAAATATATATTATATTAGGCTGTATGGAAGGTTCTTCAAATGAACTGTAGCAGCTAGTGTTTTTTATTTGTGACTATTCTTGCTTAAAAGATTTGATAAAAGTATATGGGAAAAGGCATATATATTTAGATAAATATTTAATCTTTTAATATAATATATTTAATCATTTAAAACATGTTATATAAAGTAAAAAATAATATAAAACAATATAAAAAGTAAAATAGAGTGAGAAAGGAATTGATAAGTTTTTTATATAATTCAGAATAAAATTTTTAATTGTAAATTTCTGTTTCTTTTGATAGAAAAATAAGTTCAGATAAAATATATATTTATAATATATCATATTATTATGATATTATATCATATATATATATATATATATATATATATATATATATATATATATATAT